CCGAGGCGGAGCGCACGACCTCCCCGGCTCCGGAGTCACCTAGCGCCCTCCTCGCGGCCCCTGACCCCACCCCTTGGCGCACACCTCCCCACACGTACACGCGCGCAGGCACACGCGCTCACACGCGCACCCCGAGTGGGTGTGATCTGAGCCGCGATGCGCTCCGGCGCCCGGAGTTCACACTCGGCTCCAGCCAAACCCTCCCGAGCAGGCAGCTGCCCTTGGGGCTACGACTGAGTAGAACTTCCTACTAAAGGACTCGATACTCAGAGCTGGACCCAAAACACACTCAGGGTTTGGCTTCTCTTTGGTCCATCCAGTTTTAAAGCCCTCAAGGAGTTCAGAGAAATAACTCTAGGAATTACCCGTTCCAAATGCGCAATATACAACTTTCTGCCTAACTGGGTAAAAAAGAATCTTGGAAACCCACAAAATAAGACGAAAAAGCGCTGGAATCCTTATGAGAGCTGATAAGTAATTTACAAGATTTATCACTTTTTTTTCTCCTCTTCGGTGTTCTTTTAGGAACTATACTTAACCCTTTAAATGTTCCAAAATGGATAGCACCGAGTTGTAAAATGGCCTGGCCTAATTAATGGACTGGATCCCTGGTGGGAATCATGAGGAGTTTCATTAGCATAACCACATTTATTCCCAAAACTGTTTCCAAGACAACAATTATATTTGAGCCAGAATTTAATTATGTGTTGATCAGTCTTTATTTTACAGGAAGTATTAGTCACCCAGACTGGTGTGTTTTAGTTCCCTAAAGCCAATGAAAACATTTTTGGGAAGCCAGCCCTTGTGTTTTTCATCTTGAGAGAGCATTCAATTTACACATTCATGTAATAGGAAGGAGCTGTGAAGGGTGTACAATATTTTTTCTTATCGTGAAGTTGTCACTGGGTTGTTCTAAACTATTTTCCAAATCAGATAGAATGCTAGAAAGATGACTAGCTATGCAATACTAAGAAAGCAGTGTAACACCAGAGAATATGTCTATCGAGTGCATATGATGCTCGGTTGCATGCCAAAGGGATAAATCCAATTTAGCAGTCTAAATGCCACCTCATTTATCAGTCTGACCCAAGAATGAAGATTTCTTATTTGGAAGATTAAATGCTATTCAAGGGTCCCCCACCCCACCCCACCCTGTCACTCACACACTCCAACTTGGCTAATTAATTTCCTGGTAGCTGCTGTTTTCTCCAAATGATACTTCTAGTGTTTATTGTTTTAAAGGCAGGAGCAAGAAGCCCACCTATGTGCCTTTGTGTACCCCACCTGAAAACTATTCTTTCAGAAAGGATATAAAAATAATGTTTTCCAGGTGACCAGAGGCTGAGAGTGAGACCAGAGTATATCTCTACAGTGTCAGTAGCAATCAAATCCCTCAAGGTCCTCGCATGGTTTGGAAACCCCTCCCCCACACACATTTGTCATAGGTATCCCACACACATTTGTCATAGGTATTCCAAGAATTTGTTCTTGCAAAGTCTACCATTTTGTTCCTTATCCTTCAGGTTTCAGTTCCCTGGCAATGGCTCTCCTTGACACTGAACCAACTAGAAGTTCCTGATGGGACTCCTGAAGGCGGCCCATAGCTCTCAGCCCTGATTACTGCCACGACTTCCTTCCTACAGAGTTCCTCTGGCCTTTGGGAAGAGAGAAGCATGGCATGTCATATCTCCAGCCCCCAGACAGACTCAGACTTGCCTGAACCATGGGCCCAGCATCCCCTGGAGTTCAATCTGGGAACCATGGGACACCTGGAGCACGGACATGAGAAAAGGCAAAGCGAAAACACTGGTTCTACCATCAATTTTCTCTGAAAAGAAAAGCATGAAGCACCTATCATGATTGTGCTGATAGGATTCACTTTTTTAAAAAATTTATCTGTATTGTTGAAAGTATTACAGATGTCCCCCACATTTTTCCCCCCATTGGCCACCATCCACCCCCCACCCAACCCTCCCAGGCCTTCCCCACCCTATTGTCTGGTGCATGTAAGTTCCCTGGTTAATCTCTCTCCACCCCCGCCTTCCCTCAGCAGTTCGTCAGTCTGTTCCATGCTTCTATGTCTCTGGATCTATTTTGTTCATCAGTTTATTTTGTTCATTAGATTCCACATATGAATGAGATCATGTGATACTTATCTTTCTCTGCCTGACTTATTTCACTCAGCATAATACACTCGGGGGCTCTCCATGCTATCTCAAAGGGTAGGAGGTCTTCTTTTTTATGCCTGCATAGTATCCCATGGTGTAAATGTACCACAGCTTTTTTATCTACTCAGCTACTGATGGGCACTTGGGCTGTTTCCAGATCTTAGCTATTGTAGGATTCACGTTTTTAAAAGGATTGCTTGAAAATAAACTCTGGCATAAATTTCACTTACCTACCACAAGCTTAATATTCCTGAACACCCGTTCATGTCAGACTGTATTCAGTTGTTAGAACAATATAAGCACTATTGCCACTACCAGTTTCAGTTCTCAATATTTTTTAACCTGCAATGAGCTATGCACCTTCCCTAAGACTTCAATATCAGGAGACTATGTCAAGTTTGAGAATTGATGAAGTCAACTGCTTTTAATCATTAATGAACATTATCTTTTCTATTAGCACTTTTCTTATCCTGGCCTTCAAATAAGACTTGTTTTGGTTTTCTTGAAAAATGTTATTCAGACATTAATTAGAAAATGAAAAAAACCTAGATTTATTAACTTATTAGAAAAATGTTATGAGGTATCAGAAAAGCTATAAATCATTAAATTTTACATATTAAAGGTGAAACTAGTTTCTTAACTGTTGTGGAGAAGAAATACATGATGTTTAAATACCATGAAATGATTATACAGCAAATAGCTGACTTGTATTTCTACCAGTTCTTCAACTATCAGACCAGGTAAAAAGAAATAGATGTCATTTAAAAAATGTATTTCCTGAAGAGGAATGGACAGGGCGGAATTGTTGTCTAGGTCTTCTTCTGAAAGGCACAGTGGAATGTTGGTCTTCCTTTTCCTATTTTCTCCCTTCTTCAGCCAGGGAGGGGGAGACCTTCGTATTATTACGGGAAAGGGCATCAAATAGAAAAGAGAGGAACACAATTGTTTCACTTTCTTTTTCCACATAAATTCTCTAAGGAAAATCCAAATAGCAGACTCTTATAAGATGATGTTAAAAAGAAAAGAAAAATATAAAATGAAAGCCCCAAAGCTTGGAAAACAGAAAACAGGAATAAGAAGGAAGAGGGTAAAAAAAAAAAAAAGAAAGAAAGAGAAAAAGAAAGGCAGGGAGAGAAGGAAGGAGGGAGGGAAGGGAAGAATTTTATTTCCCACCACTCAAAATAGCCATTGAAACTATAATAATAAAAGCATAATATGCTAATTAGACTGGATGTCCTTCCAGACGACCCCGGACGAAGCCGGGGCTGTGAGGGAAGCCCGGGTCCTGGGTGCCAGAGGGAAGTTGGTGCCGGCAGCTGGGGGAAGGAAGGCCTACTCTTGCACGAATTTTGTGCATCGGGCTCTAGTTTTAACATGATATATTTCATTCTAGCATCTGCATCTGTGTGTATTAAATATGTATTAAATGATGCATGCTTTTGTTTGTTTGTTTTTTAACTTAGTAATATATCCTAAACATTTTTCATATCATTAAAACATCTGTACATCAAGATTTGTGACCATAATGAATTTTACTATATAGATGTGCCATAA